CCGGGCGATCTGTAATAATACAAACACATCTTATGTTATTCATTTGGGTGATTATTCTGTTAAGCCGGGCGATCTGTAATAATACAAACACATCTTATGTTATTCATTTGGGTGATTATTCTGTTAAGCCGGGCGATCTGTAATAATACAAACACATCTTATGTTATTCATTTGGGTGATTATTCTGTTAAGCCGGGCGATCTGTAATAATACAAACACATCTTATGTTATTCATTTGGGTGATTATTCTGTTAAGCCGGGCGATCTGTAATAATACAAACACATCTTATGTTATTCATTTGGGTTATTATTTAGACAACTCGTTTTTTTTTTTTTTTTAAATCTGAGGATAACAAGAAATAGAGATAAGCTTGAAACTCCTGAAAATATGTAAATATAAAGGAAAAGATTTCACCTTCTTTATGAAAAATAAGGAACACTCTAAAAAATTAATACCGATAAAAAAAACTTTCAGTGTGGCTTTGATGAGAATACCTACAGACTAAAAAGCAGCTATGGTAACAGGAGAGGGCATATTTCTAATAAAGGGTGCAATGAAGTCTGCCGATTGGTTGACTCACACTGACCTACAGGCCAAATTATGAGACGCACTATAGGATTCTATGTAAAATCTTGATTATCAGGTGATATTTATTGTTTTCACGCGACTGAAACCGGTTTGCACTTGCTTACGGTAGTGTGATCAATGGGTTGAATGACACGATAGGTAATATAAATTCAGCATTTAAATAAATGAGACGATGTATTATACAAATACGGAATATTTACTACATCAGGTATTATATTAGTATATTATAATAATCAGATCAAAATATTCGACGCTCTGTAGTTTTCATACAATGACATGTTTTGCACGAGGTTATAGGCAATACTTTTAGATGTAATGAGATTTTTCTACTTCCCATTTGTATTTATTTTTCAGGTATGGCATTAGAATGTTAATCAAATGAACATAAACAAAGTTTCAGTGGCGTCCAAACAATAATGCTGCATAGTATCAACTGATAATTAAGATTTTACATCAAATCTTATAGTTTGGGCAGGGACCGAGACAGAACTATTAATTCTTTTCCTTGAAAGTCACACATTTTTTTCCTGGTTCTCTTCTGCCTTTAAAGTAAGAGAATCATTTGAAGACACAATAATCTTCCTTCACAGAGTTTATTTTAAAACTATTATAAAATACTCTGCATCTGTTTTTTCCTTTTTTTTATTCAATCTGTTTTGGCCAAATTTAAAGTATGATTGTATGAAATTGAAATTAAGTTCAAAAAACGAATTTTTTTGTGCAGATCGTAAAAATTTCAAATTATTTTTGATATGTGTTAAATGAAGCTACATTTTTACAATAATAATCTGCCTGCGTCACAGAATTAAGTGAATTTTCGACGATAGTACTGACTACAGCATTCATAACTAATAGAAAGAGATCGCTTTTTTGTAGGCTCACTGTGATATACTTAGCCGTTCAAGGCTATGGGTACGAACTGTCGTTTCACGCATGCGCAACCGAATCTCTTCTTGCTCGGGTAGTTTCACCAGCTGTGGTATTGCGTTAAGACGCATCTTCCATATTCTAAATTAAGTGCTGTTCATTATTAATAAATGGTGCTCGTTAAATATAAGAGTGTTTGCTTCTAAATTCCAAAGTCGAGGAACAGCACGCACACTTGCGACGATTGGGTGAATTATAATGAATAAATGTGAAAAATCAATCCTTCGTATCAAATCGAAACTGACTCGGGTTAAGGTTGGAAGAGTGATTCAATAGCTTTTATTCGTGATGACTGATACAGGTAGGACAATTCATGGAGTGCAGATTGATTTCGTCGGACCTCTATTTGAACGGATATTTCTACTCATTGTTGACGCCCATTCAAGATGCAAAACAGCCGTGCAGGACAGTACCCGACACTGGATATGGACTGCCTACAGTTTCCGACACGCAATTCTCTTTTCAAAAGTTCCAAACGTTTTTACGAAGCAAGGCCCTTCCAAACCATTTAGTAGAGCGCTACATACATACACTCTCCGTGCAGAAATCTGCTAGATATATCTAGCAAAATAGGCTCCCAATATGACCGAAGAGAACTAGAAGGGCTGGATTAAGAATAGCACGTATACTTTCCCAGATCGTATCTTTTACTAAAGTGGCTTTTATTCACTCGATGGAACAGTGATGTAGCTCAGTTGATGCGCAAGGTCCATTTTATAGAAGCACCAGCTGAAGACCAGAACTCGGATAAGACAGTTCGCAGTTTAGCAGTGAAACTCGGCACCGCTGATATTTCCCCTGCATCCACTGATCCCGGTGGAGATATCTAAAAATACTAGTTAAATTATCACAGAAAACTCACCAACCCTCTCCAACTTTTGACAAGAAGTACTCCATATTCAATTTCTCAACCGAGAAGATCACAGAGGCTTAAGAGACTTTATTTTGAAATTGCCATTTTTAGAGGAGACGAGCAAACTATCATGTATCACACATGCACAAACGAATCGGGAATTTCCCGTTCGTGAAGTTTCACTTCCTCATCAGCTAGTGTTGCGTTAAGATCTTCTAAATTAATTTAAATGTTTATTAATAAATTGTTAAATATACTCACCTAACACAGTGAGTTGAATGGTCGCTTCGTCACTTCCGACACTGTTTTCTGCTTTGATCTTATAAGTTCCGGAATCCCTTTTATCACAGTTAATGAAACAGAGTTTGGTGCGGTAGGGTTCGTTTTCAATATTAATCTTTCCCCCATCTTTCATCACAATATTACCCAACATCCAAATCTTTTTGGGTGGAGGTTCTCCAATCATCTTCACGTCAAGCTTCACACTCTGACTCGCGTGAATCGTCACATCCTTTATCGTATTTCTGTCAATCTTTGGACACACTGAAATGAAATGAAATACAATTATTTTAATTTCAATTTCCCCTCCTTAGGTTTGTAAACGCTCATTTCAGGGAAGCTTCTCTTCATTCTAGCTATTATACTAGCTATTATACCTCTAGCTATTATACCCATTCTAGCTATTATACCCATTCTTCATTATACCTTATTCTCTAAATCAGAACCAAAGAGTGATCCTACTTGAAATAGTTAGATCAGTCACTGATCCAGACAGTTGGTCAGGGGAGTTCTTACTTTAGACAAATTATATCTCCTACACAGAAATCCAATTCTTCTAATAAAGTCAGGATGGTACGCATAACAGAAAACAAAGGAATTATTAATTAAGCATAACCGTTGCAGAGAAGATCTTTTTTTTTAAATTTCATAAAAATTTATTTTATATTTTTATTTATTTTTAGAAAATATGAAGCTACAAAGAGAAAAATAATAAATTAAATTTTTAAGACAAATTTACAATCTAAATATTGACTTCTAGATATTTAACCTTTACTTAAGAAGCAAAATAAAAAAAGATTTACAAAATGACACAGAATGTACTATCTGATGGAATACATTTAGGGTAAAGAAGGCACCGCAAAGAGTTTTACTTTCTTTCCCTCAAAAGAGCTCATTAAATATTTTCTCGCCTTAGACAGAATGAAGAGCAGTTTGTTTTGTAAAACTTTGCATTATTAGAGTCATGGGGGTTCAGGGGATAGAGTGCTTGCCTTTCAATGAGGAGAACCGGGTTCGAATCCCAGGTATGGCTGGTTGATTCAAATTCCGACGACAGTGCTGACGTAAAATATTCTCAATGGTAGACGGATCATGAGGTTCTTTGCCGTCAAGCTAACCGCGTGTGGTTTTCATGGTTTCCCTCTCCTTGTAACACAAATGGTGGTTTGTTCCATCAAAAAGTCCTCCAGGGAGACATATTTCTCCCAATACTTGATCGAGGATGTCCCTTGTTTTCTGGATTGGGTTCAAAATTGTAAGACTATGGAGTTGAAGATTGGTTATCGTAAACCTAAAGTTGAGTCGGTTGTTCAACGATGGTTATAAAAACTTTGTATTAATTTACAGAAGTACTAAAGTTCATTTCAGGCATTAAAATTATACATTTTTTTGATGAAGGCAGATTATATGACAATCTTATTTTTCAAAATATGCATTTTTTTAAAATAAATTTTTGGGATTTTAAAAATAAGTTTCGTTAATAACAGGTGAAAAATGAGACTTCGAAAATTTTTATTTAAAAAAAATTAAGCTTTTTTTAAATCTCAGATATATTCCCCGCGTAGTTTTAATAACACTATAAACTACAAAAATTGAAATAATTTTTATCTTTTTGAACTACTCAATTTTTCATTCAATCACTCGGAATTTTGAAAAAAAGTATCAGACGCGATCTTCGCTGCCCCGCTAAGAGTCTCTAGAAATATTTTCGCGAATACTTTTAACCCAATTGGTTTATAAGGGAGTCTTCTTTAAGGTTGAGAGAAAAGTTTTAAGCATTTAAAGTTTTTAACATTAGCTTTAAACATTTCTCGAATCCCATCACTCTTAATTTATTAAAAAGAATTCAATTTTAAAGAAATTTCTATTGTCAAAAAGATATGATATCATTCCAAATATCCATCCGTTTTTTTCTTCCCTCTTTAGATAAAAAAAAGTACTATTTCATTCTTTTTCTTTTCTACTTAGCATTACAAATTTTTTTAGCTCTAGCTAGTTTTAGAGATTTAAATTAGGAAAAATAAAACAATAAAAAAGTGAAACCCACCAGTCATCTTAGGATTTCTACTGGACTAAAAAACGGTCCATAAAACAAAATAAATAAATTGTTTCCAATACATTGTCTATATTTTAAGAAATGAGTGAACTTACAGTATCGAATCTTAGCTGTAACAGGATCGCTTGCAATGCTGGCTTCACCTGGACCCGCTTTGTTTACAGCTCTCACCCTAAAATTATATTCCATTCCTTCTATTAAATCCGGAATTCTAGCCTCGCATGAATCCCCTATAATCTCTACAGCCCTCTGCCACTTGCTGCTGTACTTGTCTTTCTTTTCAATGACGTAACTCGTTATGGGAGAACCACCGTCACTCAGTGGTGCAGTCCATTGCAGGTCCACATGATGCTGATCCCAGTCCTTAGCGGTCGGCTTACCCGGCTGGCCCGGTTCATCTACACACAGACAATACATTTTAAAAATCTGAATACAAATAATATCAAAGCTCATAAGACAAAAATTTAACGACTTAATAAATGATCCTTGTTTTACGAAAATATTTTTTTCCCCTTAAAATAAAATTTTCCCATTCTGTAAATGAGTTTCTCATTCTAACTGTAAAAATTCACAGCAAACAGTTACGGTTTTGTCTCCCCTAGTCCTGTAGTCATAAAATCTTTTTCACCTAAGAATGCATTCTTTTTTCGTAATAAAATTTTATAGCATAATTTTTACAGTAATACTTATTTAATTACAATGATTGATTTTACAGTAAATATTATTCTATAGAAAATGACGGTATATCAAAATTTTGTTCCCAATGAAATGTGACATAAATTTCCCCATTAATTTTGTCACGTGAAGACTGATTTTAACTTTTTAACATAATGACTCATTTACTTATGCTCTTTTTTAGTTCTTAAACAGCACCGTTAAGCTCAATTAATTTTGATTATTTGCAATTAAGTTTATTTTTTACTGTTTTTGATCCCCGACACAGAGAAATATGTAAATAAGTATTAAAGTTCGCGTATCATTTTAACTTATAGAAATTTATAAGAATTTAAGTTCATTTATTTTTGGTGTAAAAAGAACCTTTACAAATAAATCATAACCGTACGAACACAATAAGTTTGATTTTAATGATTTTGTTTCATTTATCATGAAAAACAATTTCATTTCAGCATATGAACATTTTATTCTCCACGATACTAAACGATTAGGAAGAACTCCTATTTATATTCATTTTTGAGTGAATGATCTCGAAATACTAGACACTCTTAAATATTTAAAAAAAATATGAAAAAACATCGAACACCTTCCCTGTTTGCGCTTTTATTCCACATTTTACTTGGATTCCACTTTGCATTTTTCTTGAATTTTCGCTTATTAATGTTTTATTGTTTCATTCTTAATTTTTCGCTTTTTTTGGAACTCCTCACACTATTGTTTGTTATATTATATGAAAGCACTATTCTAATTATATTTTGCCTTTTTAATAATTATGCTTACAGTGGAATACCACTGATAAAATAGATGGAATACAGCAAGGAACTCATTTTTCATCTCTTTCAGCTAATAACTTAGTCTTGCACCATTATGAAAAAAATTACACTCCTAATAATAAATTAGTTTTTAGATTTACTGATGATTTAAATAGCTTTAAATTCCAAGATTTTACAATTGTATTAAATAATATTTACCCCGAGCAATTAATCTTTCTGTGATATCATGAGGATACTACTAATTTAATTTTTTTTGGATTTAGGTATCAAAAAATATGAAAATATCTGCTTTGTATGATTTGCATACGTTTTAGTTTCAATATAAATAAACTATTTACTTGGAATTTCAATGTATCTATTCAAATACCATTCTTAATCAAAAGTATATGTAGTAATGTTTATTTATGCTTACCAAATGGATTTTTAGCAGTGGTTGATTTTTCTGTTTCAAGAGCCTCTGAATCCCCCTCTGGATTGACAGCCTTCACTCGGAATTTGTAATCCTTTCCGGGAATGAGGCCTTCAATTTCTGCGCTCGGTTCCTTCGTTGTGGCGACCGGCAACCATCGTCCTGTTTCGGTGTCCATCTTTTCGACCACATACTGTTGGATGGGTTCTCCTCCATCATCTTCCGGTGGATCCCAAGCCAGCTTGCAACCCTCTGCGTGGACATCAGATACCTTCAGAGGACCTTTAGGTTTGCTTGGTTTACCTGTGGGGGTCAGAATTTCAAGAATGAGATTTTTTTCCTTTAACAAAAACTTAAGTAATGTTGTAGTTCATTCACGTCGCACTAGAGCTGCACGATGGGCTTTTGGCGACGGTCTGGGAAACATCCCTGAGAATGATCCGAAGACATGCCATCACCATTTTGATCCACTGTAGAGGGGATGGCACCCCCTCTTCAGCAGCCCAACGACCTGCACGCGAAGTCGAGCACTTTACTGTACGGTAGAACAGTTTCACGAGGAGCAATACCACACACCCTCGGTCCCAAAGCAGACAGATCCAAGTGGTCACCCACCCGCACACTAACCGCAGCCACTGATGCTTGACTTAGGTGATCTGCTGAGAACCGTGTCTTAACGATCAGTCCACTGCGGGACAAACTTAAGTAATGATATTACTACGGAACTCAGTTTCACTACAGCCCATAGAGGGCCTACTGTGCGCTTCTCAATTTTCTTGGCCTTCGGGGTGCAAGAGCAGTTAAAACAAACGCGACCCAACGCAAAATGGTCAACTAAACGCTGAGCTACCGAGCATGCTTGATACTCATTTTACCGACCCCACCGACTTGAGGATCGAACTGAGGAACTGAATCACGACAGCGCGAATTCCCACCATTGAGTCACCGGAAGTCAAATAATGTTATTAAAAGTGACTAAATAGTTAAAAGGTTTCTTAATCATTAGAGAGAGAAGAATTATGAGTCAGTACTTTTGATCAGGTAGGACACTGGGTTTGATCCCAGCCGGCCGAAGACTCCACGTGTAGTAACTGATGCAATCTGTCGAGTCGTTTCCATAACAGATCATACCTTTAGGAGTTTCCTTGTCTTCAGGACTGGGTTCAAAATGACAAGGCTACGTGGCTGAACGTTAGAACAAAAATTGGATCTGCTGTTCAACGACGATTAAGAATAAAAAAAAAAATTTTTAAAAAGTCAGATACACACTACTGACAGATCGATTTTAAGAGGTGATGTGAGCGTACATGGAAGTGATATGACAACAGCTGTGTGCGTGACGTGAACAAGTGAAGGAGTATCTCTCCAATTTACAAAAACATGATGCCTCAACTATTGAAATGGAGAAGAAAATATCCTACTCACTAGAATTATTGTACTACCGGAAGAGGTGGTAACATTTATAAATTATACAAAGAAAGGGAAAAGAATTGATTACATAAAAACACTTTATGAATGAATCAGGGAAAACTATCTTTAATATCTTTATATATTGCTTACCTATTACTGTCAACTCAAGAACGGCTTCATCTGTGCCGTTTATGTTCTTTGCTGTGATGGTGTACTTGTTCGTGTCTTTCCTTAATGCTTTCTTAATCATGAATTTTGTCTCATTCGCTGCAGTCTCGATTTGAATTCTTTCCCCGAGTGGTTTACCACCCACTGTCCATTGAATGGTGGGGGTCGGCTCACCTTTCACGCCGATCTCCAATATGACTGCGTGACCACTCCTCACCGTTAGAGCCTTCAGATTCTTTCGGTCGATTTGAGGGGCCACTAATAAAAGAAGAGATCATTAGTTGTGCGTCCACTTAAGTGATTTGTGTTTTCGCATACACTATTTTAAAAGGGAGAATCACTTTTGATTTTATAGAAAAGTGATAGGAATATTGAAAACAACATTTCCTCATCAGTGAAGGCTTTCAATTACATATTGACCACAATCATGGAGTTAGTCAAAAAATAGTGGGGCCTCCCTGGCTGACCTCTACAAATAATACATGTTTTTAAAACTACATTGAAGTTTTAAAAATACACGAGAATCATATTTCATTTGCTTGATGGTTGAAAAAAATCGGTATATAGTTTGTCAACGGTAAAAACTCCCCCGGCCACTAAGTTTGAGGCCATCTGCTACTGAAGAAACAAGAATAGCGTATTTCAGGAAGGGTAGCTTCTCTTCACTCGGGCTAACACAAGTGACCAAAGAAAAAGATTCACGTTCTTTAGCCGACCCGATCCAATGCCTGTCCTTAACAGTGACCTCATACTCCTACTTGAAATAGTTATACCTCGTTACCATAGTCACCGCCACAGGTGAAGACGAAAGACTAGGGGAGCTCTTACTTTAGACAAACCATACTTATAGATTTGTTCACATTTTCTTGCATTGCCAAAGGGAAAAATATGTTACTAAATAACCCTCAATTCCTGAGAAAAACTTGAAATGAGTTAATATAATAGTTAAAACCCTTTTACAACCTTCCAAAAGCCTCGCCAATGATTTTAATGAATTGCAAAATTTTACTTTAAACATATTTCATGAATGGTGGTTGCATGCTCTACACTCAAAGAATAATTTATTTCTTAAAAGCTGATTTCTCTCTTATTATTTTCGCATCACGGCCAACAACAATTTTTCGAGATATCGAGAAAGGGAAATCTTTGATTGGGAGTAGTGCAAACCTAATTACCTGCAGTATCTTCTAAATTTGCAGTGAGACGGCCAGTAAAACTATTTTTTGTACTACCCTCGTCATCTGTTAAACATCCATTAAAATTGTCAACTTGTACTTTATTCTTCAAACCAAACTCCAGTAGATACAGCACTAATCAACATAATTTGTCAAACTCGGCCAAAAATTACAGTTTAATAAACTAAACAATCGTATCAAGGTAATTTTTTATAGAAAAAATAGGGGGGGGGCGAATGGGGTCAAACTAGGCTAAGTTGAAAAACCGCGGGAAAATATTTTAGGCTAAATATTCGTGGTAACAGCATGTGAGGCGTGGCATGGTCAGTAATAACTCCGCGGGCTTGTCCGCAAAGAAATTTGTAGTCCGAGGGGTTCGATCCCGGTCAAGGGTTAATTTCAAAAACAATTTTACTTCATTTTATTTTTTTAAATTTCTTTTTCAATATTTTAACGTGAATAAAGTGTTCTTCATCCAAAAATTATTATTTTTCTCTTGGAAAGAGCGAATAATAAATAAAAGAACTGATAAATTTCGCTTCCAACGCTACGCATACAAATGACCCCATATATCCCCTTAATATTAATTTACAGTTTTTAGACTAAAAGAATAAATAAATAAATAAAATTATATGATTACTTTTCTTTATACTCCATTTTAAAATAACTTTATTTTACTAGCATGGTTTAACTTAATTATTTGATTCCTACTTCCTTAAAAACAATGAATGCTAATTTTCTCATTTAATGCAGAGATATAGTGAAGAAAATAATAGAAAGTTTAGAATCACATTTATAAGTTAATAAGATTCAAAGCAGTTTATTTGTGGACAACGTGCTCCTTTCTAGCGAAAGACAGACACAAGACAAATAAACTGATTGCTGACTCATGTATTTTTGTTGTCCTCAATAATAATTGAAGGGGGAAGAACAATCCATGAAAGCTTAGTAAGAACGATTTTTAAGGAGTTTTCTACAGAACGGCTTATTTTCACTGTGTAATAACTGTCGGGGAGAAGCTATTTCCCCTCTCAAAATACACTATCTGGGTCCAAAAGTATCCGGACACTCAATGGGTATGGAGCGTCTTGAGGCACGTCGTAATGTGATGTTGAGACGTCCCCCGTTTTGCATCGATGTCTGGGAAATCTTTCCACCAGTTTTTGATAGGATTTCTATCACAACTTGCAGCGAGGATTTGGCTGGATACGTTATCGGAGCTCTCATTCGTCACAAATGTATTCTATGGGATGGAGGCTCTGGGAAAGTCAGTTCAGTTTCTGAACACAGACAAACCGCGTCTGTTGAGCTCAGGGGATAGAGCGTTCGCCTTTCAATGAAGTGAACCGGGTTCGAATCCCACCGACGGCGGGTCGATACGAATCCAGCTCGCACCGACCACAGTGCTGACGTGAAATATCCTCTATGGTAGACGGATCACGGGTTAGAATCCTCCTTGCCGTCAGGCTAACCGTGGGAGGTTCTCGTGGTCTTCCTCTCCATTTCACGCAAGCGCGATATCAAAAATTCCTCCACAAATGTCCATGTCTCCCTATACTTGATCCAAAAGTTCCCTTGTCTTCTGGATTGGGTTCAAAATGACCAGGCTACGAACATGAGTGGTCGTAAACCCATAAAATTGGGTCGGCTGTTCATCGACGGATAATAAAATAAACCACGTCTGTGTAAGTTTCCATGCGTGAATGGAGCATCAGTTATTCAGCTGGAAGAGAAGTGGGTCGAAATATTGTCATAGAGTTTGGAGTGTAGCCTTGACCAGAGAGTCCTCATACATCTCAGAGTTCCAATCACAGGAACTGACGGACCCAAGCCGAACCACTAGAAACACCTCCACACAATTATGCCTCCATCTTAAACAGATAGTTTTGGACAGACAGTGAATAACAGATTTAAAAAAAAGTAGTATTTTTAAGATATAACTCACAGTTTTTGGGTTTTGCAATCACGGGTCTCGATCCTTCACTGGGTTCGCTCAGTCCACCCTTGTTGACCGCGATCACTCGGAACTCATACTCTTCACCTTCCTCCAGATCCCCGACAGTCGCGTTCGTTTTGTCACCGGGGATCTCTTTCGCCTTCTGCCACTTGTGGCATCCCTTCTTCTTCTTTTCCACTATATACTTTGAGATGGGAGATCCACCGTCACTCGAGGGAGGTGACCACTGCAGATCGACGTGGTCCACATCCCAGTCGGTTGGCTCAGGTCGTCCTGGTTTAGAGGGCTCATCTAATTTTAAAAAAATACAAAAACATTTTTAAAGGAATACGTTATAATAAAAATGAATTCGATGGGTGGATTGACATTTTGTAAACGTAATTCATGTTAACTTGTATTATTCACTAATAGACGTTTATGAATGGGTTTTTTCCTATTCTATTTCAAATCTATTTTCTTTGCAATGATCAAATCAAATTTTACATTTAAATCATCCCCTCGTTGTTTTATAAATCTCATCACTATTTATCTTATTAATATCAAAAGTTACTTGGAAAAAATACGAATCAATACATCTGAACTGAACAGAAACATGCACAAAACTGATACCGACAGAAATAATAAAGCTAAACATAATAAAAATTTAACATATTTTAAATTTACTTTCATAAAATTTAACTAACGAAAAAACGTTTTTTTTTTTTTTTTTAAAAATTCCTACAATCAGTTTACACACTCTCTCTCTCTATATTACATTTTCAATCTTTTTATTCATAGAATCAACTTCAACTTGTAGAGGATGACAATCAATATTAATACAGCGTTTTCAACAATTAATTAATTCATTAAATTTAACTCATCTATTTCAGTTTTATATGAGAGAAGAAAATTGTAATTATTTAAAAAAAAAAGTCAACTACAAATGTAATTTTTCTTTGTGGATCTAAGTAGAAATCGACTTTTTTTTTTATCTGACTTGTTTTCTTTCTAAATGAATGATCTCCTTTTTTCCTCTAAAATTTATTTCAGTTTACTCTCAAATTTTTAAAAACAAAATGTCTCTTCGTTAACAGAAATGTGTCGAAAGATATTTACCAAATGGATTTTTGGCTAATGTAGAGTCTTCCGTTTCCAGTTCTTCAGAATCCCCTTCCTTGTTGACAGCCCGAACACGGAATTTGTATTTCTTTCCGGGTTGAAGATTGGTGAGATCGCATTTGGGAGTCTGTGATTTACCAGCCGGTACCCAAACACCCGTATCCTCATCCATTTTCTCCACTTCATAATATTCGATGGGTGAACCACCATCGTCTTCTGGTTCACTCCACTTCAATGTGCAACCCTCTTTGTGGACGTCAGAAACATCGAGGGGTCCTTTGGGCTTGCTTGGCTTGCCTGAAATATAAACGGTTCAATACAAAATATATTCTTATTAGCCTTCATGAGTCTCTGCATAATTAAAAGTAACGGAATCAAATTCATAACTGTTAGAAATATGGATTCTAATAATCACTGCACTTTTGTAAAGGTTTCTTGCTTTAAAGGGGGAAAGAAACAGAGCATATCTTAAGTTCAGAATAAAATCAGGCGAATTCTGTATTTAAAACCGAATAAAAAGTATCATTGAAATTAAACTTCCTTTAACGTTTAATTAAAATATAAACAAGAAGAAAAAATTGTATTAAGTTCATAAAAGAAACTATGCTTTCCAAATACGCTTTACAGAGATAATATAAAATTTTTTAGTCGATCGTGGAAAAGGAACAAAAAGTATGATAAAAATTTTTAAAAAAATGTCAGAAGGAGCAAAAAGATTACAAATAGTATATAAACTAATGCGCTATAAAAAATATTAATTAATATAAAGGTGGATATTGCTGCAATCACAAGTAGCAAGTCTACTGTTCAACGGGGAAATCCATCGAAGTGGGTGCTTCTGTCATGGTAGGCGTGTTCACATCACGTCCGGGTCACCAATGTGGGGCGAGTGTTCTCAACACTATCAACCTTCATCTTTGAAGCAAGGTTCTTTGAATGTGTTCTAAAATTACTCTAAGAAACCAGTTAAGTTTTGGGGAATTTGTTTGTAAAAAGATAAGCAAAACAATGGAATACCTAGAACAAAGATCTCAACTTGTGCTTCGTCTGTTCCGACTTTATTGGTGGCAACGATGGTGTATAATCCACTCTCTTTCCTCGTCGCCCTCAACAAGTAGAACTTTGTGTTATAATCAGCGTTGTCTATGCGTATCGTGTCTGACGTCTGCACTTCTACGTCATTCAACTTCCACGTCACTTGTGGGGGTGGCTCTCCGATCACATTCACGTCTAAGTTAACAGTCTGACCAATTTTTATAGCCATGTTCCTTAAATTGGCTCGATCAATTCGTGGCTTCACTAGATAAAAACAACAAAATCAACATTTGAAAGTGATGGACGAATTAATTTTTTTAAAAAATATTATCCATTTATTTCATTTTTAAATATTTTCAAGAGTTTTTTTTGTTTGTTTTTTTCCATTTTGTATATGCATTAAGTTTATGACATAAGTGAAGTAACATAGGCTAATGACATATGTGCAATAGAAGCGAAATAAAACTCGCTAATAAAGATTGCTTTCTCTATCAGGTTTTTGAAAACAAAAACCTTAAAATTTATGAAACAAAAGAAATTGTTACAGTATTTAAACTTATATATATATAAGTTCAAAATGAACTTGTATATGAACTTATAAATGAACTTATATTGATGACTTAATTATCTTTAATTTCCAAGATTTTACTGTTTTATTGAGTGATATATACCCTGAGGAATTAATCTTACTTCGTAATCATGATGATAATATTAATTTCAATTTTTTGGATTTGGGTATTATGAAAGTTGAAAATATCTGCTTTGTTGATTTATACGATAAAAGAAATGATTTTAATTTTAATATTAATAAACTAGTTACTTGGAATTCTAATGTTTCTAGGAGCATCTATTTAAATACCACTTTTAANTTTCTTCTTTGGTTATTTGTTTGTTTTGCTTTGTCTAATTTAGAAATTTATGTAAATCAACACGTTAAACATTAAAATTAACTTAAAACAGAGTTAGTTTCAGTTTTAGAAGTAAAAATCGATTATACGACGTTATCGTTTATACGACGTTTTTCGGTGGTCCCTTCGGCGTCGTATAAACGATGCTCCACTGTATATATATATATATATATATATATATATTCGAAGCCACTGCTATAAGTAACTGCTATCTCTGAATTATGCTGTAATTCAGAATTACAGAATTGGAATCTGCATAATGCTGTATTATGTTTAACTGCTATCTCTGAAAGTTATTTTATAGAAAGCAGTAAGGTCCCTTTTTGTTTGTATTTCAAACGCGAAAGAAACTCAATCCGAATGAACGGATTTTATGAGTGGCCATTAAACTTTTTTTTCTTGTTGAAAATGTATGTAGCATGATAGTGTAACACTGGATAATGTTTTGCTCTATTCTCACTTTTCATGCAGATTTCTTTTATGGCTAAGATTAATAGAATAAATAACCAAATACTACTTTAAAAGATAAAGGTGTATCCAATGCTATTTTAAATATGCCTAGTGTTTATGAATTTAAAACTTGTTTTGAGTTGTTTAAGTCTTTTAAAAGATGATTTTTTATTTAACAAACTTTCCGTATAACGAACTACATAGGGATGTAGCGTCTTCGTTAAATAGAGGTCTGACTGTATGTATAACGCTTACTGCTAAATGAAATTGTTAGTGACACAGAATAAGAAGTACTTACAGAATTTAGGCTTAGCGAGGTGTGGAAGGGTGGCTTCGCTGGGGTCCCCGGGTCCAGCTTTGTTGACGGCTCTGACCCTGAATTCATACTTCTCACCAGGAACAAGACCCGTGACTTTTCCTCCTGGGCCCATCGTTTCAGCAGCTTTTGTCCATTCTCCTCCGGGTCCCTTCTTCTCGATGATGTACCCCGTGATGGGAGCGTTCCCGTCTTTGCTCGGTTTATCCCATTTCAGTTCCACAAAGTCCTTATCGTAATCAACAATCTCCGGTTCACCCGGACATCCGGGCTTTTCTGCAGAAATTCAAAGAAAGAACTAAAAGTGAGAACATTTTTGACCCCTTCAAACCCAGAGCAGGGGAAGAAGGGAGTGAGAATTGCCTCAGTGATCTTGAGCCGCATAACGTTAGTTGTTAACAGAGAATCACGTTTATCTAATATCACATTCCTGAAGGGGTTTCTAGCTACATAATTTTAACGGCAATTTTTTTTTCTTTGGGAATTTTTTGACCACCTATATCTCACTACATCTTATCTAAAATACCATAAAAAAATGCTTAAAATCTTTTTAGTTTCGCTTAATTTTTTTCAAAATTTTTTTCCCCTCTTTTTATAAACATAATACTAGAAAGTATTCATTTAAAAGAGCAGCCTAAAACAATTAATAATGATTAAATTGATTAATGAGCTTGTTTGTTTTATTGTTTTGATTAACTCCAAATTTCCAAAAATGATTAATTTAAATTTTTTTTTCCAAAAGAAAAAACAAATCTTGTAGAATGTATTGTATAAATATAAAAATTTTCACTAACGAAATAAGACTTTTGTATCTTTTCAGTACTCTTAAGATAGATTTTATTGGGTACATTAGGCTCCATATAACAAGAAAAGGACCAGTTAATACATAAAGCAATCAGCAAGATAACAAGTTAGAAATAAACTTTGTAAAAGGAACATAATGTAGCTTCTATTTATGAATGGATAATATAAGATAAGGGGCAGAATATATATTTTTCATTGAAAACCTATGTAAAGATTTTTTCTAAGATGTGAAATTTAAGTCCTTAAAAATGTACTTTATCTTCACCGTTAGACATGCATTTATTTTCTTCAGAAGAGAAAAATATTATTAATGACTGGGCGGGGAAAATAAACAGTTTTCTGTGATTCTGTGAATCAGTAGATAAAGTGTGTTTTCAGGAGAAAACATTTTTGCCTAAACATCTGTTTCCATTCTAAGTCTTATTAGAATAAGCATTATTTTTTCCGTATGGCATTGGTTTTCTTACCAAGTATTCTGCCCTTTGTGCCACATAATAAATAAAAGAAGTCAAATATAATTATGCCATTATTGAGGGCTATCTTCTTCATCAATTCAACAATAAAATAATAATTAGTTTGAACTTGAACAACGACCGAGGAATTAATATCCTGTGGTGTAAATCGTTTAAAAGTGAATTTGTTTTCGTCCATCTGAATATGAAAACCAACTAAAAATCTATTTCCTTACAAAAGAAAAATTTCATGAAAAAGTGGTGTGTTATATCACAACAAAACGGTTCTGATAATTGATTACGAATTTTCTGTTCTTCTCCTTGAGTGGCAACTAGGCAGGGGAGTTTTAAGGTCCTCGAAACTTTCAGCCATATGGAATAAAAAAATAAAAAGAATAATAAAACTTACCAAACGGATTTTTGGCGAGTGTGGTTCTGTCTGTCTCGAGTGGGTCAGATTCCCCTTCGTTGTTTATAGCCTTCACCCGGAAATGGTATTTTTTACCCTGATCAAGACCCTTCACTTCAATAGACGGGCTGTCCACTTTACCCACTGGACTCCATCGACCCGTGAGCACGTCCATTTTTTCAACCTGATAACCTTGAAGGGGAGTTCCACCGTCATCTTTCGGAGGTTGCCACTGCAACTTACAACCTTTGGCGTGGACATCCGTAATTTCCATAGGACCTTCCGGTTTGGCCGGTTTCGCTGCAAAACAAGCGACATTAAAAGGATGATATACTTCGCATTATGTAGACTGAAACAAAAAATAAAGCACAAAAAGGAACTTATTACAGTTCTCTATACAAGAACCTTTCTAAACGTCCATGAAAAACGATGGAAAAGATGTAAAGTGGTTTAACCAATAGGGAGCACGAGATAATAAAACGGAAAAAGTCAGGGTGCAAAATATAAAATTTTTCTTCGTCTTTGTCAGAGCAACAACCCCTTGCATGCCTTGCCTGCTTCAGTAGCTGACAAACGCCAGCGCCTCCTATCCATGGCAACTCCCTTCCAATTTCCAATCTTTAGGGTTTTCAAATCATTTTCGATGTCGTTGAGCCATTTAGTAGGGAATCTGCCACGGCGCTATTTTCAGAGCTTCTCCATAGATGGTTAAATATAAAATATTAAATTAGAATTTATATTCCCAAACGTTGGGGAGATAAACAACTAAAATGATCATTAACTCAATGAATCACTTTTCATTTTAGGATGTAGCTAATTTAATCCGGCCTAAGTCTAAACGCAACTATTTGCTTCATCATCATATTTGCTCTAAATATAAAAAAAAAACTGTTTTAGAAGTTTGTGAATAGGTTTCTTCATGAGCAAAGCAGAGTTTATTACGTTATGGCTTCGGTGATCACCTTACTATGAGACCCACATTTACATTGAAAACGAAAAAGTAAAAAGGCTGCGCCCCTTTCTAAATATGTTTTATTACTTTTTTTTTAAATGTGGAAAGATCCCCAGAAATCTAGCTTGATAGATAAAGAGCAGTATTGAATGAAAATCTTTCAATACTATTCTTCATCTACCTACCTTCATTTAATCACTTTTTCAAACTGTCCTCTATTCCTATTAGTTAAATCACTTTACGCACGTTTCTTTATTTGTTTTTTGCTTCAGTCATCTAGTGATTCAAGAGAAAGAAAACACTCACACAGGACATTGATATTGATAACGGCTTCATCTCGACCATTTTTGTTAACTGCCCTGATCACATATTTTCCCGTATATCTTCGAGTGATGCCCGTGAATTTCAGGTGTGTCGCGTAATCTTCATTATGGTATTGAATGACGTCATCAGGTTCGACGGCCTTCTCTCCGTGGTTCCAGGTGATGGTGGGGGCGGGCTCCCCTTCCACCTCAACGTCCAGTTTGATGGTGTGGCCAGATTTAATTGTTATATCCTGTAGATTAGTCCTGTTTATCTTTGGAGCCACTGAAAAAAAGAGAACAATAATTCATTTTAAAACCTCCAACAACTCTGAACACTCAAAAGACATTTTTTTAAACTTGTAATGAATGACACTGGATTAATACAGTTTTTTTTTTCAAATATTAATTCATTCATTCAATAGGGATGAACGAAATGGAATATTTGGATGGGTTAAGAGTTAGTCATTGTAATAAATTTTACTATAAACGATTCAGTTTGTCACGTATTTTAAAAATAACATCGGTGATCATTTCTAATTTATTTGAACAAAAAAAAAATTAGTTTATGGCTCACATTTAAATATTTAATTATTTTATATTCACTGTGTCGGATAAATTTAATAAAGAAAATTGCGTGGTTGCACGACTGGTCCACGTCACCAAATGTATGCTTTTGTAGTCAGTGATGGGCATCATTCACGAAAATTTTATTCATGACTAAATTTATTCAGAATGATTATTCATATGAAAATTTAGTCATTATTCATCATTCATTATGCAAATGTATAAAAAATTTTGAATAATGATTGATGAATAAACTCATTAGTCATGACTAATTTTTCTGAATAAAATTTTGAATAACCAGCAAAAAATGCAATCGATATGTCTGTCTATAACGAGATGCAAAACATCGTTTGCTCTAAAACGTCTTATTTTAGGAATTAAACTATAAAACTAAGACAAGTAGGACAATTTATTTTTATGTTATTTTAACTTACTCCAGCGTAACATACTTACGTGTGCTAAAAACTAGGTTTATAACAGTTTAGTTACTTAAGTTCATTTTAAAATTTTGTTCAAAAATCTATAAAACGCAATTTTTTATAGTTTTTGAAAGCAAACGATAATATTATTTTAAATTTATAAATAAAATTTTAACTTTATGATTAACTTCTTTAAATATCTAAATTGTTTAAATATTTAAATTCTTATGCAAAAAAAATATTATACATGTTCTGGTGGCATTTAACATGTTTTTTTTTAAATTTCATTTTTGTATTTTTTAGCATCCATAATGTCTAAGGAAGTTGTCTTCAAAAGATAAGATGCTTGTTCTTCCTTGGATCAGAAAATTAGGACTTATTTTTGAAAAAAAAAGGAACGATTTTTTAAATATTTCCCTATATTCAGATACAATCCATTATCCATTATTTATTTAATAGTTTGTTTACTTTAGTGAAATTATTGAAAAGAAATTCCTGGTAAAATAAAATTCTTTTTTTCATAAAAAAAAAAATATTTTTAAAAGAGCTTTATAATTTTCTAACGATAACATATTAAATAAATAAGGAAATAAAAAGGCATAAGCATATACAAATTAAAATAAAATAAACAAATTCATGAATGGTTTTTGCTCTTTTGTCTATTTTTAATCTCTGTCTATCATTTTCAAATTATTTTTACTTTTCATTTCTATGTCAGATTGTATTTTAAAACAGTCATTATTGAATGGGTTTGCCTCACCAGAAGGTTCATACTTACAGTATTTCTCTTTTACTATTAAAAACTCTTTTGATTTTGTAAATGTTACTTTCTATTCAATGATAACCAAATGAATTTCTAAAAATGAAATTTTTATAAAAAAAATGATTATAGTGTTGAAGAGCAATGTGACATGATCATCGACAATCGATTATGAAGAAATGATTGAAGAGGCTTACGGTTTCGGGCTTTTGCAAGATGTGGTCTGGTGGGTTCACTGGGTTGTCCTTCACCCGCTTTATTGACAGCCTTCACCCTGAATTCGTATTGGTGACCTTTCACGAGACCCGTGACTTTACCCTCGGGTCCGTGTGTTTCGGTGCACACATCCCAGGCAGCTGCAAACCTCTCTTTCTTCTCGATGATGTAACCGGTGATGGGGGCTCCTCCATCATTCTTGGGTGGATGCCACTTCAGGTCAACCATCGTCTCATCCCAATCAACGATTTCAGGGGTTCCGGGAGCTCCTGCCGATTCTGCAACAAAATCACAATACTTATTTATTTAATTACCCACAAGTCAATATTTTTGATGATTTATGTTGGTCCCATTAATGGTGGTTCGATATCATTGGAAGGTCGCCATCATCCAACATTTATCCATTCATGGTTTTTGATACACACTTTCATCATTACTTTAATACATGGTGAAAGAGAAGTTTGATTCTGATGGACCCACAATCCATGATGGTCCCAACTATACATTTCCACGAAGGTTTAATGGAAATTCTTGCTGGTTCTCAGGAATATGACAGCTGGACAGATTGGCCCATCAAAAATCAGTCTAAATTCCTTACATTGTGGTTCATAGGGTGGTTCATGATCGTTCCAACATTTGATTTCTTAGAAACAATGATGGAAATTTCTGATGGTTCAACATGAAGAAACCATCGAAAGAAACAGCTATTCTTAAGTTGGACCATCATAAATCAGTCCAAATTTCTACATGGGGATGATGGTTACTTATGTTGGTTACCATTAAAAATATAATGGTTCATCATGGAATTATGGATGGTTAATATCAAGATGAACGCCCGGTGGCTGAGCGGTAGCGCTTCGCGCTGTCGTGCCACAGGTCCCTGGTTCGATCCTCGGGCCGGGCAAGGTTCACTCAGCCTTTCATCCCTTCAGTGGGTCGATAAATGAGTACCAAGCATGCTTGGGAACTAAACACTGGGGGTTCCGCGTTCGGCTGACCACCTGACCGGAACATCTACTCCTGCACCCCAGAGCCCAAGGACAAGAAAACTGAGATGGGCACAGTAGGCCTTGGACCTCTATGGGCTGTCGTGCCACTGAGTTTAGTTTAATATCAAGATGAGTCCATCCATGAAAAACCATCATAAATTTTGATTTGAGTCGTACAGTGTATTCATCTTGCATACAATTTAATAGATCTCCATGTTTTTCTACTTTTAAGGCCTTTTAATTTGCGTTAAGAACAATGCTTTTTATAATAGCTAAGACCGGATATTATAGTTCATGATTCAGAGCATAAAAACCTATTTGTTTTTTAAGATCTCGTTAAATGGATTTTTCTCAGAAACTGGCTTCTCCAATTTTTATTTTTTATTTTTACGAAATAGCTTACCAATCATATATCAAAACAAAACAAATTCCCGTCATTCACGTTGTAAATTATTGACTCATTCCAATTATTGAATTTATCTAACCATTGACTTTTGTAAATTATTGATTTATTCTAAAAAATAATTCATTCCTAGTGCACAGTTTGAACACTTTAGAAGTAAAAAAATGTCTACCCAGATTTAACCCTCCAAACGTTAAGCCCCCGGATAATATTTTCCTGCTACTCACCCATTGAATAGCTATCTTTTGAAACAGGAAAGCTACCACCTAAAAGTTCGGAAAAAAAACTAGCCCTCAGGGAGTTAAAGCAATCAATTATTTGAAATATCACTGTAAAAATCGTTATAATAATTGTATGTTATTATTATTCATAAATTTACTAAACGCTTCTTTGTAAAATAAACTTATATTTTTACCATGTGCAAATAAAATAGGGACAATACCATGGCTAGAAATCTGAGCAAAGCGAGCAAATCATGATTTTTTAAATAAATGCTAAATTTCTAAAATCATTGAAATGGCATAATTTAATATCAACCTTATTCATTTTATTTCATAACCGTCATTGAACAGCCGACCCAATTTTTGAGCTTACGACTACTAATATTCTACTCCGTAGTCACGTCATTTTGAACCCACTCCAGAAGACAAGGGCTGGATCAAGTATTGGGAGAAATTCGCCATCCTGGTGGAACTAACCGCATTTGCGCTACATGGAAAAGAAGACCACGAGAACCTCCTATCGTTAGCTGTACGGCAAGGGAACTGTAACCCATGATCCGTCTACAACTCACGATATTTCACGTCAGCACTGGGGTCGGTGCAAGCCGGATACGGAATTCGTATCGACCCGCCATTGCCGGGATTCGAACCGGGTTCACCTCTTTGAAAGGGGAACGCTCTATCCCCTGATCCATCGCCGCTCAACCGTATTCATTGCAAGCTTTAAATTATCCAGTATAATATTATTGCCTTGCGCACATCCATTTCAAGACCAATTCAATGTAACTAACAAATCAAACGCTCTTCAGTACTGCAGTAAGAACCCACCATAAGGGATCCCTCTATTTACGCTTCTATTTTCTTATTTTGTAATCTAGCAAACTTATGGCGAAAATATTTAAAACATATATTTTTAACTTATAGTACAACAAATAAATGTAAAAGGAACAAAAAGAAAAAATAGAAAAATGAAGAAAATTTTTAAAAAACAAAGTTTTCTGAGTACTTCTNGTCTTCACCCTTGGTAAATTTGATTTGTACCTGGCAAAATGACATATTTTTTCATTAAAAAGTAAATTTCAATTCTAACTGAATTTTTATGTATATATATATATATGCGTGTGTGTGTGTAAGGTTGATATTTGAGAGTTTTCAATAAAATATAGGTATAGTGATTGAAAAGGAAGTTACCAAAAGGATTTTTGGCCAGAGTGGAACTATCTGTAACGAGTGGTTCGGATTCTCCTTCAGCGTTGACAGCCTTCACTCTGAATTGGTATTCCTTTCCGGGTATGAGTCCCGGTACATCCATTTCTGTCTTGTCACTCTCGGCTCTGCCCACCGGTATCCAATTGCCCGATGCAGCATCCATTTTCTCTACCTGGTAATGGTTGATGGGCTTGCCCCCATCATCCTCCGGTGCCTGCCACTTCAACTTGCAACCTTTTGCATGGACGTTGCTCACTTCAAGGGGACCTTTGGGTTTAGATGGAGCTCCTACAAATACACCATTTCTTTTTAAACAAACAAGTATTTACACAAGTGATTAGACAGATTCTATGTAAAATCTCAATCAATTCTGTACAGCTTTATTGTTTATGCGAGACAGGTTTCTACTTGATTACGTTTGTGTATCAATGGATTCAATGAGACGGTGTATTATATAAATTCGATACATTAGACGATAGATTACATAAATATAGAACATTTATTATATTGGACCCATTTGATAGACGCACTGTAGTTTTTTAATAATGGCATGTTTTGCGAGTGTTTATATACAATATTTTTATAGTTAAACATACAAGTAATGGGTTTTTATTCGGGGGATTTTTCATATGCCTGCTATTTGCTTTTATTTTTGACGTATTGCATTACAATGTTAACCCACTGATACGCGAACGTAAGCAAGATCAAAGTCTCGTAAAAACAATAAAACTGTATAGATATCACCTGATAGTTAAGATCTTTCATAGAATCTTAAAATGCGTCTCATAATTTGGCAATGCACTGTATATATTTAAAATGGTACAGTCAAAAGCCAAGACACTATGTAATAAACTCAGTGTCTCTTACATAGGATATTATGGGTATTCATGGTGAATGTGTTATTACAATGTTTTGTACAACGTGTGGTTACATTTAAAAAGAGAAAAAATGATGTGCTAATTATCTCAATGGCACCTTTCATTAGTAAAAAATCGATCATTGAACTGTAAATTTTTGCTCTATTATTAATTATGAGTGAATTTTATTTTTAAGAGTATTTCGCCAAAATGAAAGAAATTACAATTGTCACAAACTTTTTTTAAGTTAAAGGAACACACCAATCGAAAACAACAATAAGCAATGGGTTTTAAAAGAAAGAAATATAATTTATATTTAATGGCTCAGTACAAGAACTGAAATATAGTATAACATCCCAATAAATGAGCCTTTACATTTATTGGATGCGTATAATGAGTCAATTTTATAAACGGACTTTTGCGTAGTTTTATTTAACTTTTTTAAACCTGAGATTTAACTGATGTTAAATTATAAAAGTGTGTGCTCACATATATAATTTATGTACGTTTAGGGAATCTTCCCATTATGTGTTAGCAACCTCTCATGTTCTACAAGGACCATAAGATGGCATCTTTTTCAACACCCTAGATGAATAGGTAGGATGCGATGCATTGTCAAAAGGCGTTGTTTTTCCTGTTAATCTAATGGGTGTTAATATTTTTGTTACTCAAATAAAATGTATAAAATTCACAATAATTATCGCTTTGTATAACGATATCGTCCTATTCAATTTGTTGGTAGTCAATTAAGTCAGAACCTGGCGTTGTTCTACTTCGCTTCATACGACAAAAAAAACAATAATTAATTTTTTTTTATTAAGTTTATGATATTTTCATTTAAAGGACTTCAGTTTGAGAATTTAGAACGTGTGATTAAAAAAGATGCGAAGAATTAATTATTATTATGAATAGCTGTTATTAATAGGGTGCAGTATTAGAATTTAATAAATTTAAAAATGCCGTATTCGACTCAGAAAAATGAGCCTATTTGTGTTTAACATTACCCATGACAAAAATATATTATTCTTTCATTTTTAATACATTTTGTGAGTCAGCCTATTTCTTCATAGTATCCTTTACTTCTGCATTTAAGCGACGAGTTTAGCGAGCCATAAGGATATATAATTTTTCTAGTCGTCTCTTCTGCTTTAAATATTTTATAAGAATGCGGTTTTCACGATTGCGGTTGCTTTAATTTTTTTTTGATCCATGATTTTTTTGCGTTTTATATTTTTTCTTTGTCAATGAAATTTTGTATTTTCGATACTGAGCCCGAACTACGTCATGCTGGAAAGAGGTCATTGTTAAACGAACCACCACTTGAATTGTTGAAAACTGCTTTTAAAAAAACATGATACAAATGGGTGCTCCTATTCTTGAGCTACTAGTAACTTCCGTTTTTATACTATTTATATTAGAACATATTATTAGAACCTAAGCTTTTATCTTTCAAGTTTCTATTTGCTTAAAAATTTCAATATAAATTTTAAATTTAATCTAATGAGAAAAAAAAGGAGTTCTTACCCAAGATGATTATTTCGACCTCTGCTTCGTCCTTCCCGTGTTCATTTTCTGCAATTATTTTATAAATGCCAGAATATTTCCTTTGGGCACTGTGGATGATCAGCTTTGTATTATAATCCACGTTTATAATCTCTCTGTGTTCCGAGCTCTCTATCACCTGTGGGTGCACAACAACAGAATTAATACTCCTGAATTGAAGAGAGATGATAAAAGACACATTATATATGGGGTGGTGTCTATTAAAAATAGAAACATGGAAGTCGTTGATTTACAAGTGACCAACATCATCATGGAACTAAATCTTTATCAAACACTTTTTATCACTATTAGAAGGATTTATTTCTACCGTCACCATGCAGGCTCTTACATAATCTAAAATCCTACTTAAAATGTGGGAATATTATTGAGAACTAGGTTTGTCCTTTCTTATAAACACCCTTGTTTAAAGGAAAAAGATTCAAGATCTAAAATATGCCCTTTATTGACTTATTTATTCTCCTTTCTTGATACTTCATGGGAAAGTATGCCATACGCACACATGTGACTTATGAGTCTATTCATATTAATATATAGTATTCAGTGTGAATATATAGTGAAAGAATTGAAATTTTTAAGAAAGAATTCTTATGAAAGAATATAGAATGTGTCACTGAAGATAATTGATACCTTACTCGGAATAGAATGGAAAAAACAGTTTTAAAGTAAACAAATGGCAGCAGCCCATCAGGATCGAGCTACCCACACTCAGTCACTTGCGGCTATCCTATTTAACGCACATTCACGAATATTTTTTGGGGGAAAAGATTGTCTTGGGGATATGAACAAAAGAAGAAAGAAGTTCATTTTTAGTTTTCTGTGTGTGTCTTTTTTGCGTGTTATCAACCATGGCAATTTTAAAAGGTATTTAGAGTCGAACCTTTGCTTTCCATTGAAATAACATCGCGGTTAGAAAATTGGCGAGTCAAGGTCTCGCGAAATGGTCTTTTCTTTCTTCCATTCTCAAAACATACAAAATGCTATCTGTGCATAAACCAATAAACATTCCGCCGTCACAATAGATACCCCATCCCTCTCGAAAGAACCAAACGAGTGCTTAAACACCCTTATAATAAGAAACACATATCGAAAGTCAACCTTAAGTTTAAAATTTGAAACCGTTCATCACGATCCCCCAAAGAGAACAGGGGCTCATTTTTGAGGTATTTTAAGAATCTTATACTATTGAATTTGAGACATTTTGCATGCATTTCACACAAAAAAAGTGTCAAATTTGGCATTTCTTCATTAAAAAAATGAATGACTGTTTTTACCTTATCCTTGAGTGACCATTTAACAGTAGGTGCTGGTTCACCTTTAATGTTAACATCCAACTTCAATGATTTTCCTTTTCGAATGGTTGTCGTTTCCAAGTTCGTTCGATCGATGTGTGGTTTTACTGAAATTATATATGAAAAGTGAATCACATGCATTGATTCAAGACACAGAAAAAAGTCGCTCTAGAAAATAGTTTTTTTCCTTCTTATTTTTAAATGGTGCCAAATTCCAAATTAAATCACCTGGAGAATAAATTTTTTTTTGTCTCGTAATTTAAAATTGCCGACTAGGTTTGTTCATCTCTCTACTCAAAAGTTAGCTGCTTCTAAAATGAGTTCAAATAGTTGTCTCCTCAATAATGAACTGCTGTAAATATAATTGATTCTACCTTATTGTAATATCTATTTGCCAACAGGTTTTGTTCATATCTTCCAATAACCAAAAGTGAGCTCATTTGAATAATGAGCTCATTTTTCTGCTCACAAATCGGTAGTTTTACGTGCCAAAGCTGTTTTCTCCTAAGAGAGTGCACGTTTCTTGAGTGCAATGAAGTAACGCGACTGAAACAATGTTTACGTTCGTGCATCAATGGGTTAAATTCGACGATATATACTATAAATTCGGCGATTGAATAAATTATACGATGTATTACATAAACATAGAACATTTATTATATCAGATATTATATTATAACATTATAATAATTAGACCTAATGATTAGACGCACTGTAGTTTTCAAATAATGACATGTTTTGCACGAGCTTATAGGCAATACTTTTATGTTTAAACATACATGTAATGAATTTTTATTCAGGAGATAATTTAAACACTAGCTATTTATATTTATTTTTAACGTATAGCATTACTATGTTCATACATGGCAGTACTTTTACTTTCGTTACTTGTACCGCCGGTACAAGTAAAAAGTACATACTTTTACTTGTACTCCGTTACTTTTTAAATTTAGTACTTTCACTTGTACTTTCGTTACTTTTTTATGGGAAAAAGTAAAAGTATTTGTAACGGAAATNAATTTCGGTACTGAACAAAATTTGTCGTGATTTCAACTTTTTTAAAAAAAAAAAAAAAAAAAAAAAAAAGTGTATGCAATATATATGAATTTACAGCTAACTTCGTGTCTAAATACCTTCTGTTTCAACTTATACTACACATTCAATTATTTGTTACTAGCTCAAAGATCACAAAGCTATCTGAAACCCTGTGTTTGCTTTGTTTATGTTTGTTTTTAAAACGCGTTTCTAAAGAGTAAAATCAATTTTAAATCAATGGTAATTTAAATAAATAAAAATAATAAACTAAAAATTAAAGTCAATAGATAAAATTTCTTTTTCGTGCAAATCCATAAAAAGTTTGATATTAAAATTATATTATACGATTATATTATAAAATTATATTATAATATTCTTCCGAATTTAAAAATAAATTAATATCCATAACTTTCAAAATTAAAAATAATTAAATAAATAACAACAATTTTGCAAAAACATTAAAGAAAATAAGAATATTATTCAATAAAATTTTAGGTTACTTTGAATTTTCGATTTCCTAGAAATGTACTTTTAAATCGTTACTTTTTTTGTTTAGTACTTGTACTTTTTACACGTTACTTTTTAAAATAAGAACTTTTTACTCGTTACTTTTATAAAAATACTTGTACTTTTACTCGTTACTTTTTAAGAGTAACGTTGCCATCTATGACTATATTAACCCATTGATACACTAACGTAAACAAGTGCAAACCAGTTTCAGTCGCTTAAAGATAATAAAGCTGTATAGCATCACCTGATGGATAATTTTTTGTACGGAGGAAATCTTTTAAAACGTGTTTTATATTTAAAAGTGAGCGTCAATTTTAAAGAAAATATAAGTATATGCCAAGGAACATAAATATATTTTTTTTTTCTAAGTGTTTGTTTAGACCGAAACAAGCTACTTTCAGAACAGATATATCGATAACATAGAGCGGACAGTTTGAGAATTTTTTGTAAGTTTTTGTATGAAGGAAATCCTTTGAAACTTGTTTTATATTAAAAAGTAAGCGTCAATTTTAAAGGAAATATTTCTAAAAAAAAATTCTCTACAATTATTTGCATCGAAATTAAAAAGAGAAAAAAAAGTGTAAATACATTAAAAATGCCTGCTGGTGAAAATAAAAAATAAAGAATTCTATAAAAATAATCAAACAGCATCGGTCGTCATAGCAATGCATGCAATGACAACGCATGCGCACTGTTTACTGTTGCTCTTGAACACAGTTGAAAACTTTGATGAGGTTCAAATAAGGTGCGCACGCCATCAATCCCAAAACAAGATCCATTTTGCCAATGGGTAATAAATGATCAAAAAATTATAAAGAACTTTAAAAATTCCATTAAAATTAATAAAATGTATTGACCATCTCATCAATCCAACTGACAGTTCACCTTCTGACAGTTGCATCTCACTAAAACGGTTTGTCACGCATCGATGGAAAAAAAGTGTCGTCCTTTTATATGATGATTAATTTCTTCTGATTAATTTCTCTGTGATAACAACAGACGGTGAAATATAATTTTTCTCCAACTTTCGATAACTTTTGTTGGCCTGCATATTTTTTTAGCATGTTTTATTTCTGCACCTACACTATGAGTTCACCGAACTTTAATAGTATTTAATTTCTTCTAGTGGTTTCTCTAGCTAAGATTTTTTTTAAAAATAATATTCTGTGTAAACGCTCTTTCTATGACAACGCTCGTTCGTTTCATTCTGTGTTTTAATCTGGAATTTTTTTTCCATCCAGAAAAAATTATATTTTTGAAGCAGTGCCCCAAAGTAAAAGACGCCAGAAAGAGATTGCTAAAAACCCACCCCCTTGAAAATTTGAAAACTTTTAAAGAAACATATATGACGCTCACTTATTAATATAAAACAAGTTTCAAAAGGTTTCCTCTGTACAAAAAATTATAAAAAAATTTCAAACTGTCCGCTCTATGTTATAGATATATATGCTCTGAAAGTAGCTTGTTTCAGACTAAACAAATTTTTTTTAAAACAAAATTACTTATTTTCCTTGGCATGTATTTATATTTTCTTCATGTATTTATATTTCAAGAGAAATCTTACACTTTCGATGTTTGACCAAGTGATTTTTGGTGGCCTCGCTGGGTTCCCCCGGACCTGCAGCGTTCACTGCAACCACTCTGAATTGATATTCAGAATTTTCTTTGAGGTCAGTCACTTTGACCTTTGTCGCTCCTCCCAACACCTCACCAGCTTTCTCCCAACTTAGGCAGAACTTTTCCTTCTTCTCCACAATGTATTTCGTGATGGGGGAACCTCCATCCGACTTAGGAGCCTCCCACTTCAGATCAACGCTGCTGTTATCCCAATCTTCCAATTCAGGAACTCCCGGTTTGCCAGGTTCATCTGGAAAAAAATGCAACAATAAAGATTTAATAAACACCCTACAGACAGTACCCGAGTCAAAATTCTGGTGGGTCCCATCAAAACATTTTGATAGTTTCAGTACGATTCATGAGGGTCCAACCACACTGGATGGTCATCCAACATTTTCCATGATGCGTTTATGGTTTTCGATAAGCCAACACACTTCCATCATTCCAGGATGGAATATGCTACTTTAATTCACAAAGAGGGTGAACCATCGAGAGAATTTTGTTTCTCATGAATCAACAATTGATGATGATCCATGATAGTTCCAACTACGCATTTCCATGATGGTTTAATGAAAATTCCTGCTGGTTCTGAGGAATATGCCATCAAAACGATTTTTTTTATGTTGACCATAAATCAGTCCTTCATGGGGATGATGGTGGTTCATGATCATTCCAATACTTGATTTTTAAGAAAGTAGGGTGGAAATTTCTGATGGTTCAACATCAACAAACCATCACAACAGGTCGCTATTCTTAGGTTGGTTCATCCTAAACCAGTCCGAATTCCTACTTGGTTATGGTTACTTATGTTGTTCAACTTAAAAAATATAATACTTCATGATGGAATTATGGATGGTTACCATCAGGAATATGCTGGTCCATCCATAGAAAACCATCAAAAATGTTGATTTTGGTATTTTAACAATTTGATAGTAAAACAAAACGAAGAAGTTTTCTTTAACGGGTACGGTAGGATTTGCTACAAAACTCATCCGCATATTTGCTAACTTTATGAATTTAAATTTTTTTTTCCTTTTTAATAATAGGGTGTCATGATTCAATCTCACCATCATTTAAAGTTTTATTTAAACCAAACTCAGTGGCGTGACAGCCCATAGAGGGCCAAGGCCTACTGTGCCTATCTCAGTTTTCCTGATCTTGGGCCCTGGGATGCAGGAGCAGATGTTCCGGTTAGGTGATCAGCCGAACGCGGAACCCTCAGTGCCCAAGTATGCTTGGTACTCATGCATCGACCCACTGAAGGGATAAAAAGGTTGAGTCAACCTTGCCCGGCCCAAGATCGAACCCAGGACCTTTGGCATGAGAGTGCGAAGCGCTATCACTCAGCCACCGGGCGTCAAAGTTTTATTTAGGGTTCTTCATTATTTTTCGCCCTTAGCTTTAGGAGTTTTCTTTCACTCCTTCTAAACGTCCGCAAAAGCTGATTCTGTCGTAAACAATTTATGGAATAAGGAATATACTTTTTTCGTTCAGATATTTCAACCGGTAGAATTGACTCCTATGAAATTCGGTGATAAGAAATGTAATGAAAATTTCGACTCGCGTGGTTCAAAAATGACAGATTCAATAAATGAAGGACTATCAAATCTGTCCACAAAAACTCTTCCCGTTTTCTGATGTTATAAAAACTATTTATAAGGAAGAATTGAAGAAATGTCCCGCTTAATCTTAACCAATGGTTAAAATATCTTACTAACCAGAGAAAGGGATTTAGCTGGACAGTACATTTCAAAATAAACAATCTTTGTTGCATTAACATTAAAATTAATTAATTTTAAGTACGAAAAAAACTTTTTGTTAATGGGTTGCTTTGGTAAGCTTTTGTTATTTCATTCATCTTTTCACAACTTCCAATGTAGCTTAGTTTGGACCAACACGTCTTTTTTAAAAAGAGTGTTCTACGTTAATTATTCAAAAACAATCTATTTTTAGAGTTTATTGGCAAAAATACATTAAAAAAACAATGTTACCTAGATAATCGTAATATCTTGTCTTCACAAATTGAAGGTCCTACTTTTTCAATGCAAGGCGTTTTAAAGTATAGATGGCCATAGCCCTTTTTTTAAAAAAATAGTGGCTACGTTCCAATAAATTTAGAGCTAACCGGAATTTAAAATACCCACTACAAATCGATACGTTACCGGCTAAGTATGAAACGCCGGCATTCTATAGAATGCAGCCATTGCATATAATGCCGGATGTTTTCAGGCACGGTATGAAATATGAGAAGTATTACACACTTTCCTTAAGCATTGTATAGGATACCTAGGCATTCTATGGAATGACAAATACTATTTAGGCAAAGTATAAAGAAAAACATCCCGATGAGGTTATTATGCAAATGATGCATATTAGGCAAAAATAAAAATTTTATTCTCAAAAAAATAATAAGAGTGCCATTGCCAACTTGCTGCAACATGGCAGACTTGAATGACATTTTGAATTGAATTGAAATCGGAGATGTGTTTTATACTTTGCCGGTTTCTCATTTGGCATTCTATAGAATGCCTAGGAAATGGGTGAAATATAAATCGTTTCATGAATTGCCGGCTAGTTTTAGGCATTAGCAGAAATGCCAACTGCTCCGAACGTACCATAATAGTTTAAAAAGCGGTAAATAACTACAAACTAAAATTTTCAAGTATTTGACCCATTTCGCTTACTTTTTAAACGGTGTAGCATGACTTAAATGTAACAAAATGGCAAATTATATTACCCCTTCGAATTATTTAAAAATAGTGGTGTATAAAAAATTTAATAAATGGAATTTATTAAACCAAGAATCACACATTCATAAACTACCACTCGAAACTATTTATTTGCTGTCCGAGCAAGCTGGCATCTCTGCATTCTATACAATGCCTAGGCATTCTATACAATGCAGGGTTTCAAACTTTGCCTGTAACAGTTGTATTATGTCACAAAAATGATCTAAAATATACTTACCGAATGGGTTTTTAGCAACGATGGGTCTCAACGTTTCCAGTGGTTCTGATTCTCCCTCTTCGTTGATGGCTGCAACGCGGAATAAATATTCTTTGCCAGGTGTTAGTCCAGTCACGTCCATTTCAGACTTGTCACCGGAAACTTTTCCAACTCTTGTCCATCGTCCAGTTTCTTTATCGAATTTCTCCACTTCGTATTGTTCGATGGGGGTACCTCCGTCGTCTTTTGGCTTGTTCCATTTCAGCTTGCAACCTTCTTTGTGGACGTCGGAAACCTCGAGAGGACCTTCAGGCTTAGAGGGTTTGCCTGAGGATGAAATAATATATATTTGTCACGCATTTGTTTCAAAAATAGATGTCTTTTATAATTTTTTGAAATAAACGGTGTATTATTAAGAAATTCAGCTTCTTGGGTTGTTTAACGAGGGAAGCATTTCTTTTTATTTTTGTTTGCTAATTGTATGTCTGCACTGTTAAAAAAATTTCCGAAACTAATTTTGACTCGACAACAAGGTACGTAGCCAAATCTTTCTACAAATAATAATCAATTTGTATGTACTTTTCAGCACTATGTGCATTAACAAAATGCAAAATGATTCTCAAATACTTTACGTGATCATGATAAAAAAACTAGTTTCTGACAAAGAACTCTTTTCTTGATTATATTAGCCATTATAAAATGATCGAAAGATTTCTCAGTTCGATATCAAAGGGTGTAAAATGAAGCCAGCATTCGAGAATATCTTGAGGCAGAGTTGCACATGAAAGTGCTCACCGAATCCAGCTCAGACGACGAACAGGCTAACTCGCAAGAATTTCATATAACATGCAAAATGTCGGGAGCTTTCATACGGACCGACGGAAAGCCGAAATACATTGCCAGTTGAATGAATTGTGAAAACGTTGAATAGAACAATGTGAGCAGCACGCTTTTGCATAATACGTGATGAAAATCGACATGGAAAACAAAAAAAAATCTCCTTTTTGAAAAGGGAAAATAAAGCACTTCCATCGATGAAAAAAACACGTTTAAGGGCTTTCAAAAAACGAAAATCGAAAATAAGCACCTTCAAGCTTTATTTTAAAAACGCTACTCACTATGGACAAATATCTCAGAGAACTTCATCTAATAGGATGTCTCTTGAGAAACGTTTGTTTTATTTTCAAAAGTAGGACATTGAATCGACTATTCAGTTTCAGCGTGCAGCGTAGCTACCATTCCAAAATTCCGATTCACTAGCATATTAGATAAGTTCGCTCGAATCTTTTTTTATTTTATAACCGTCGTTGAACAGCCGACCCCAATTTGGGTTCACTCATGTTCCACTCCGTAACCTTGTCATTTTGACGCCAATCCTGAAGACAAGGAGACTCCAGGATCAAGAATATGGAGAAATTTTGCTTTCGAGGAGGACTTTTTGATGGAACTAGTCTGCATTTGAGTTACATGGAGAGGAAAATCTCCCACGATTAGCCAGACGACAAGGAGACTTTCACCCATGATCTGTCTACCACTGAAGATATTTCACCTCAGCACTGTGATTGGTGGAAGCCGAGAGCGGAAGTCATATCGACTAGTCGTCGTCGGGATACGAACCCGGTTCACGTCATTGGAAGACGAATGGTCTATCCCCCGAGCCATCTTGAGGTATTCTTGGATGCATGACGTAGCCTAGTTCCATAGCCGAAATATTAAGAGAAATGTCAACAGAAATTGCTTCAAAATATTTTTTAAAAAAAATTCCGAAACTCCAAGAAATGATTCAAAATATTTCAGAAATACAGAGAAATGTTTCTGAATATCAGAGAAAGAGGAAATACTCAAAAAAGGCACCGTAACTGCCTCATACATACAGAAATGCTTAGTCCAAAATATAGCGTCAGGATCTTTTCTTACTCCTTTTGTGTCTTAATATTTAACCATCCACCACTACAGGGAAAACTCCCTCCTAAAAATCACTTGATGTTCGAGAGATATGCTTGAAAATTTTTTTTCTTCTCATCGGTTAAACAGTTTGTTATAAGTAGAACCTTAGGCAATTGGTGGATTTTAGATGTTTTACTGAATATATTGAATAAGTTATAACAATGAGATGGATTTATTTAGGTCTAAACTTCAATTATTAATGCTAAAATAACTATAGTACTACCAATAGTATCGTCGTTATAATTGATGCAACTGCGGCTACTGTGTTAATAGGTTACCAAAAGGGATAAGTACTGTAGAGAAAAAAACAGTTGACAGAGGGAGATCCTAATCCCTTTCAAAAAATGAATTCTTTGGGAACTTCTTGGGAGTATTTTTCATGAAGAACGTAAAAAATTATTCTGTCCCAAAAAGGAAACAAAAAGCAACTTAATACCCTCGTTGAGGAAATGGCATAGAAAAGGATGAAAAAAGTGCCACAGAATGGGAGAGTGACATTAGTCATAACAAATGATCAAATAGGGAATAAATATACAATTGAGGGTGTCAGAATAAATTATGGATATATTTCTTCAGAACTATAGAGTAACTGAATCTCGAAAAAAATTTAAAGTTAACTTATATGAAACGAAATTTGTGTATGGGTTTATTTTTATTCCTATTTACATAATTTTATCAAGATAGAATATATTTTTTAATGCGGTGATGAAGATTTATATTTGAGTCTGTACACCCTCACAAATAGGTCAAGTGTTAGTCTTCAGAAAAAAATAAATTTAGATTTTTTTTACATCAGTTGTATAATCTGTGGGGGCTTTCCCTGCGAAACAGCAAAAGCTGACAAAAAGGGACCCTCTTTAAAACCGTAAAAATGAGAAAGGAAGTCGCATACGAATAAGGACTAAATGCGAGATGTTAAACGAGAGTACCAATCATGGTCGGCTAGAGTCAGAAAGGCCCGATTTATATATGAAGGGGTGTAGTTAAATCCAAGTAGAAAAGAAACTTACCTAAAATGGTCACATCCACAGTCACCGTGTCCTTGCCCGATGCATTGGTGGCACTGATAGTATATTTCCCAGAATGTTTTCTCTTCGATTTAGTGATTGTGAAGTCGGTATGATAGTCTCTGTTTTCAATTTTAATGTGATCGTCCTGCACTACTTTATGATCGGCAAACGACCACACTATTTCGGGAGCGGGTTCTCCTTTCACGTCCACGTCGAATTTAATCGATCTTCCAACTTTTATCACCTGTGCTTTCAAGTTCGTTCGATCAATCAGAGGTTTCACTGCAACAGAGATATTCATTCATCATTGAAGTCATCATTTAATTTTAAAAAAGAAACAAAACAAATAAAATGATTAAATACACAATCATAGCAAAGAAAAATGTGGGTGCTGCAAATTTATAGTTAAGAATTGTTAGTTTATTGGAAGAAAAAAAAAACATTGCTGAAGTAACAGTTGCGCTGCTTTGACAGTGTTTAGACTGGATATGGAAATCATTTTAAGGTTCAACTTCATGATGCAGTGCTATCCATACTGATATTTCGTTTTATATCCGTCGTTGAACAGCCGACCCAATTTTTGGGTTTACGACTTCTAATGTCCTTGTAACTTTGAACCCATCCAGGTGACAAGGAAACTCCTGTATCCCCAGAGGTATGATGTGTTATGAGAACATGGAGGATTTCCAATCAGCACGGGAACAACTTTAAGAAAGCCAGCTAGTGTTAACTAATCGGACAGTGAGATAGATGAAACATAAAGCCACTCAATAATTCAGTTCATATACGATACGCAAATTCGTTCACACTCTTCCTCTATTTTGTTCAAATCGTTCATAAAATACTTTTAATTCATCCATTCAACTTCAAATACATTTTTGTTTAAGCTTGTTGTGAATGACAATCGATGTTAATACAGTTTTTTCAAATATGAATTCATTCATCTAAATTGAATGAATTAATTTCAATTTCATATGGGAGAAAGAATTGTAATTATTTAATAAAAAGTAACTAAAATAAAAAAATTTCTTCGTTGACCTAAGTAGGAATTGACTCATTTTTTTTTTATATTACATTATTTCCTTTTACATTTTATATTAAAAATGATTACAATAATTGTATATTATTGCAGTTAAATATTATTGTGTATTATTGCAATAATCGTAACACATTTTATATTAAAAATGACTGCAATAATTCTTTATTTCCATTCATTCAATGCTCATTATTCTATCTATTTCATAAAATAATATTATTTTAACCTTGATTAATATCCATTATTATTTATTAAGGTTTTAAACAGTTTTCTTCTTCTTTTTCCTCTAGTGTTAGTTGTTGTTGATGTATGCCTGTGTAGGCAAAGGGGTGCGATTGTTCTTGTTTTCCAGTGGCACCATCTATGGCCAAGAATTCGACTTCTGCCACACCATACATCGTACCCGTTTATAGGGCGGACCCATTCATACATCCGCAAATCGTAATTTTGACCTGAATCAGAGAACGATCGATCTCCAATCCAGTACTCCCAGAGGTATTGATTTGTTATGGGAACATGGAGGACTTTTGCGACTCGACAGACTTAACGTGCATCAGCCACTTTACTACACGGGGAGTCTTTTGTCGACGGGGTTCGAACCCACGAACTCTCGAACATGAGCCCAGTACCCTATCGACCAGGTTATCCCGGCCCAGTGTTAGTTTGAGACCCTTTAAAGTGTATATTTCTATGGTTTAGTTTTAAACAAAAGGTTTCTTTTTTCCTAAACAAACATGTTAAAACGCATCATTGTTGCTTACAGTGTCTGTGTTTAACCGTGTGATTGTTGGTGGGATCACTGGGTTCTCCAATGCCAGCCTTGTTGACAGCCCTCACACGGAATTGTAGTACAGTGTTTTCTTTCAGTCCTTCAACCACTGCTCTGCACTTGTTGTCGGGTGTCTTCAGTGCTTCTGTCCAGGTGGCGCTGAATTTGTCTTTCATTTCGATGATGTAGCTCAGTATGGGTCGGCCACCGTCATTCTCGGGGGGAACCCATTTTAGTTCCACTTTAGTGTTGTCGTAGTCCACAATCTCTGGTTTTGGAGGTTTGCCAGGCTCATCTACAAATACACAACACATCATTTTTTTATGAAATACAAGAAGGCTCATTATATATTTTTCGATAGAACAAAACTTTTCTGAATTTCTTTCTTAAATTTAAAACCGCTTTAATAAAGCAATAACAAAGTAATTGAATTGAATTGAATGAAGAGTTTAGTGACGCTAGGTCCAGATGAAAACATGCTGCGCAGCAATAACAAGGGAGACTCATCATCTGTTGATATGGATAATTATTTGTAGCTTATGGAAAGACATTTTAGAAAAACAGCTTATTTTAACACTAGAAAGACTGAAACTTAGTATATACCTATCAGGGATCTGTCCAGACATTTTGTGAAAAGTCCGTGTATGTGAAATTGTGAAAAAAATTACTCTTCATTTGTGAATATAAAATAAACGTTAAGTGACATTTTTTCAACCAGGGTCCTGCTTTTGTGAATGTGTGCAAATAGGGTCCTGTTATTGCAAAAAACTTTTTTAAGGAGTTTTTAAATTGTAAAGAGATACAAGAGACTCAACACTGTAAAGTTATAATTAAAATTTTTACGATAAACAGCAATTGCTGCTACTAAATTAGAGATGCAACATACACATATTTGGTATGTAGCCTATACTGCTGAATCCAGAATATTCATTTCGGACAAATAAAGGAAGAAACGTCTGCCGAAGACAAAACTTGGTTCGTTTACATCTGTCTTCTCCCTCCTAGGAAGGGTTTATTCGATTAACAAAACAATAATGAAGATAAACAAATCTGTGAAGGGTCCGATTAAAAGAAAAATCATTTTGTGAAGGGTTTTAAGTTAAAATATTTTGTGAAGGGTCCGTTTTTATAAAAAGATATTTTGCAATAGGTCCGTTAATGGACTCAAATTTCTTCTAAACAGACCCCTGAATATAGTGTCCAGAAGCAGTCAAAATTATTGGATTGTGAAAGAATAAATAATGTGTAAAGAAATTTGCTTAAAATTGATTTTTAATGTTTTTATATTATTTACAGTTATATAACACGCTATTAGTAAAAATGAACACTAAAAAAATTATATGTTGTACAAAAAGTCACAACATTCTAAGAAATTGCGTCATTCATATCATTGGATATACGTTTATCATTGTTTTTTCTAATTGAAATTAAAAAGTAGTCAAAAGGACTTCTTTAGGCAATCTAGTGTTAAAGCGCAAAATTAATTCAATTAAAAAAAACCCAAAAAAGCTCGAAATTAATTCAATTAAAAAAACAAACAAATATTTTACACTATTTAATTCTTTTTATATAAAATAGAGAATACCCTATACTGCGTGTGTCATCCATCAACCTTCATTTTTTGAATGCTTAAAAATAATTATATTAAAAAATATTTTTATTTAGGGAACAAAAATGAATACGTAAGTGAAAAGGAACATAAATGTTATAAGCCCTGTGACCCATTAATTTTTAGATCTATAAGAAAAAAGAAAAATGATCTCAAAATGTTTATTTGAGATCGTGGCATGAGACAAAGGATTTAAAACCCTTTTTCCAGCTTAATAATGAAAAATGTTAACTGACAACCTTCTACTTATCTAGAAATGCAAATCAGGGTTTTGTATAAACAGCAAAAAAAATGTTACCGTAAGGATTTTTAGCTTCGATGTCCTCGTCAGTGACGAGTGCCGGTGACTCTCCATCTTTGTTGACGGCCTTCACTCTGAATTTATATTTCTTCTTTGGGGTGAGGCCATCGACTGTAAAAGTGTCATCATTCGGACCCACTTCTCCCGCAGGTACCCATCGACCCGTGTCAGTGTCCATCTTCTCGATGACGTATCCTTTCAGTTCTTGACCACCCGTGTCTTCTGGCCTGTTCCATTTCAGCTTCACGTGATCGGCCCTCACTTCCTCCGCCTTCAAGGGTCCTCTGGGTGCTGTTGGTTTGTCTATATTAAAAGCAATTAAAATTATTGGAGTCATCCTCCGTTACATTGTTCAGATGTAAAATGAGCATTTTTCTTTTTAAAAAATTTGATTTCTTTTTGTATTAAAGAAATTCCTAAACAAGCAGAAATATATTTCAACACTATAAGTTGCTCTTAAAAGAAATGAATAATCTGTTCAAATGTACTTTAAAAAGGAATCACTATTTGTTTGTGTTTTCGATTTTTAAATTTTATTTCATAACCGTCGCTGAAGAGCCTTTTTGGGTTTACGACTATTAATGTTCAATGGGAGAACTTTTGCCATTGTGGAGGACTTTGTAATGGAACTAGCCCGCATTTGCGTTACATTGAGAGGAAAATCCCGAGAACCTCTCCCGGTTTGCCTGACGGCAAAGTTGACTCGAACCCATGATCCATCTACCACTGAGAATATTTTACGTCAGCACTGGGGTCGGTGAGAGCTGTGGGTGGAATTCGTATCAACCAGTTATCGTTAGGATTCGAACCCGGTTCAACTGAATAGAACAGGGATGAGATTGGTCAAAAGGCAAAAAAGCTGAATTTTCACACGAGTACATCTTACGTGATTTATAGCAAAAACATCAGTAACATATTCGCTGATGTTGTAATATAGCAACACCAGTTTTGGCTGATGTTGTAATATAGCAATAATCGCCGATAGAAAAACTGCCACATTTATAGTAACTAATTCAAAAAAAAAAACTTGCTTTTTACAAGAACCGCGCAATAACGGATTTTAAAATCGTGTGAATATAAATCACGTTATTGAAATAAGCGAATGAAACTCGATATTAAATTTCAAAAATGTGAAAATACAAATCATGATGCGTAACTTTCAGATCGCGTAAATACGAATTACGATACATTATTTCTAAATGGCGTTAATACGTATCCAAAGCCTAATTTTTAAATCTAGTGTAAATACGAAAATAGAAGTTGGATATTACAACAGCAAAAACGAATCACGACATTGGATAAACTCGCATGAATACGAAATCGTTACATAGAATTTTAAAAACGTCTGTATACAAATCGCGATATTGGATTTTTAAATCTCGTAAAGAAGAATTGCAATGAACGATATTGAAATCGCGAGAATAGGAATCGCAACGCGCAACTTTTAAATCAGGTAAAGACGAAAATCGATGTTTGATATTAAAATGCAGCGACGTCTGAATTACGAAAATACGAGCTATCTAGCGGACGGGTAAAAATGAGGAAAATCTTACTTTCTGCTTCTAGAAGCTAATAACTAAATTAAGTAGATATGCGAAAGGGTTGGCAGCTACGAAGTTTGAATTTTCTATACATCTTTCGATATATGATATCTATATATCAAATCGGAGGAAATAAACATAATTATATTATTTCAATGGCTGAATTTTCAGAAAAAACCGGAATATTAATTAAAAAAAACTGAAACTTTTAGAGAATCTGAGTTTTTAATAAAAAGTCTGAAATTCGAGAGACAAAAGCGAAAAAGGCGGAAATCCGCTAAAAAGCGGATAAATCTCATCCCTGATAGAAGGCGACTGTAATCACTATGGATTTGTGTTCACGATGTACTTGCATTGTAATTTATTTCATTTTATAACCGGAGTTAAAAAAGACGACTCCTATACGAGTTTACAATGTCGGTGTGCCACTTTGAACTGCTGGGCAAGGGGACTACTAGATCAAGCATTGGGGCACTTTGGTGGAGAACTTTTTGATTGAACTAACTGTGTTAAAGGGTGGTTATCGAGAGGTGTGTCTGAATATGCGTTAAAATGACATTTTCCCTCTAGTATATAACAATATTTAGTGACACATCTCTAAAAGCACTGCAATTTATCTTTGACACCTACCCAGGACAATGACGTCACCCCAAGAGGAGATGGCACCTGAAGTGTTTGTCAGTGTCAGGGTGTATTTCCCACTGTCAGCCCTCTCAGCGCTCTTCACGAGGATCGTCGTCTCTTTTGCAGTATTGTCAATAGTTATCCTATAATATTAAAATAAAAGTTTTTATTCAAATTATATAAAACATTTTTAGTTGACAAAAAACACAATGATCTTACTTTTTAGAAGGCATGAGTTCTTTGAGATCTTTTGCCCATTTGACAGTGGGAGGAGGCTCACCACCGAATTGAATTTCGTATTTGATCATTTGACCCTTTTTAATAATCATTCCTTTCACTTCATCGCCGATAATGTAAGGCTTGACTAAAACAAAAAAAAAAGGATTTTAATTTAATTATAAAATAAGACAGTTTAAATGACATGCATGTATATAGGCAGCAGGGCCCGGAGCTAAGGATCATTAGCCGGTAAATTAGTCAAATATCAAAAGTATTGGTCAATTTTAAAAAGTCTTCACCAAATGTTATGATTCATTTTTTTCCCTATCGAAGTAGTTTATTTGCACCCATTTCTAATGGGTGAATGAGGAGCATCTACCGAAAATGACTGTCAGCGAATACTGATTTGTTGAAAAAAATTCATTTTCTCAGAATTTAGAGTTAAATATATATTTTTCTTTTAGGTGGAAAAAAAGCATTCGCCAATACTTTCACCAAAATAGAATTTTGTTCGCCAAATGTACGATTTTATCGCATTTGGCGAGATGGCTTATCGCGGGCCCTGTTATAAACATGACTATTGATAAAGATTTTTAAAAAAAAAAACTTAATTCACTGTGTTGAAAATGGGTGTGCGTTCTATTTGTAAATAGATTTCTATGCATACATACCATATCTTGCTTTGGCGATGACTGGTTTTGATGGATCGCTGGGTTCACCGGGACCGGCTTTGTTGACAGCCTTCACCCTGAACTGGTATTGGACACCTTCCTTCAATCCTTCTACACGACATTTTAACTCATCTGGGCCCACTTCCTGACAATTAAACAAGCATGCATTTTTAAACAGTGATTCTAACAGAGGTTATATAAAATAAAAACTCCTTTTCTTCAGATTTTCGTGTTTGTATTTTATTTCTAAATACGTTGAGTAGCGAGAAGAGGAGGGAAGAAAGTGACTTACCGGTCCTTGTGTCCATTCTCCTGAGAACTTATCTTTATATTCGACTATATAACTTGTGATGGGAGCTCCGCCATCAGTCTCTGGTTTTGTCCAACCTATGTCAACCCTACCCACGTCCCAGTCTTGAATTTCAACATTTCCAGGCTTTGAGGGTTCATCTAAAGGGAGAAACATTTACATTGAATGAGATCAGTTTTTATTTTGTTTTGTGTACTACTTTTGAATGTGATCTTAACAATTATTTCGATTCAAGGAGTCCAAGAGGACCTCAAGACAAATCTTCACGATCTTTTCTTTTGCAGCATTTCGTTTTCTGATTTTATAATAATAATTCAACTTATGAAAATGTTATTTACATTCACATGATTAATAAAACATAAAAAGCAGCTGGAATTTTTCGATGGACCATTAACGAGATGACATTCTTTTTCATTTTACATTATTCAAATTAGATATATGGATTAATAGTGTGTAAAAAAAGTTTTCAAGTATCTCCCCTTTTCCATGACGTTTGACATTCTGCATTGGGCTATTTGGCAGTCCAAAAAAAAAAAANAAAAAAAAAAAAAAAAGATGTTGAATAAGTTTTACTGCTTTTCTCAGAATAAAAAATATGTCATAAAGAAGAGAAGAGCTCAGTATAATTTCTTCTAAAAGAAAAAAAAAGTCTTGTATGCATTAAAATGCATCTTATTGCTCGAATTTAAGTTTTAACATTTTGTTTTGTTTCCATTTTTGTGTCTCGGCATTCTTTACAAAGGAAAAACACACACACAGAATAACACAGTTTTCATTTAAATTAGTATTTATTTCAAAATATTATCAAATTATTTCAGTTAATAATATCGTATTTATTTTACAGAGTACAAAAATTTGAAAACTTCATTCTTGCATAAAATTGATATAATATTGCGAACTTTAATGAAAACCTAATTCCTAACAAATATTTAATCTGAAAATCATAGAATAGTTAAGAATAATTTGAATTAATAAACACACTGAACTATAATTTAAAGTCTAATTAAATTCCCTGCTGTGTTTTAAGAATAGGTAAAGAAAATGAGTCAAATTATTTTCATGCTTTATTATTTTTTACTTCAAAGATGGAGGGGAACAAACACAATTTATATTTTTATTTAATATGTAAAAGAGAGGAACTAGTAGAATAAACGACTCCTATATTAACTTATATGATATTTTTTATCTGTAAAATCATTCATTTTTTTTAATTAGGTAGCTTGTTTTTAACATTGCTAAATTTATATCAAAGATGATTCACATATTTTTTTTTTTAATTTGTCTGAAATAGCAGAAAGTAGTTTTTGCGAGTTTTCTAATTATTGAGGGAGGTATATAACCAGGACAACGACTCATGCATATAAGCGTCATACATATTCGCGTACAATTAACCACATTTCTCTCTCATTTTTCTTTAAGATTTTATGTTTTATTTAATTATTTATTATTTTTTAATATACTTTGATCATTGCAAAACTACAATCATGCCCTTATTTCCAAATCTCAATCTATTTGATCTAAAATTGTTTGTTAAATAGTAGAAATAAATTTAATAAATGAATTTACAATAATAAGAATGAGCTTTAGGTAAGTAGATAAGCGTTCTCGTAATGCGTTATAAAATTTTAAGTATATGGATATAGTTAGATTAGAAGCTTCCGGTAACTTTTTATAACCTCTCTTTTAAAGTTAAAACTCTCAGTTCATTAAAAAAAAAAGTATCTATAAGGTGCACAAGGGAAAAAAGAAACATTTTATAATTATCTTTTCTCCCCCTTTTTTCCCTTATTTTTCTATCTTTTTCTTTCTAATTTTGAGCTTGTACATTTGTAACATTCCACCGCAATATCCCTTTTTATACATAAACTGTTCTACACTTTATTCAAAATTTATCAGAAAATTAACCATAGATTATACTTCATAAGCACCGAAAAGGAGCTTGTGACTTGCTTATTTTTGCGCTGACGAGGGGGGAGAAAAAAAAATCATACTGACTTAATACTTAAATGTGAATCAATAAAAATAGGTTATTCATTCTATTTCCTTTAGAAATTAAATAAATTTGCATAGTTCTTTCAAGAAAAAATAATATATATATATATAAAGGATTTAAAACCCTTTTTCCAGCTTAATAATGAAAAATGTTAACTGACAACCTTCTACTTATCTAGAAATGCAAATCAGGGTTTTGTATAAACAGCAAAAAAAATGTTACCGTAAGGATTTTTAGCTTCGATGTCCTCGTCGGTGACGAGTGCCGGTGACTCTCCATCTTTGTTGACGGCCTTCACTCTGAATTTATATTTCTTCTTTGGGGTGAGGCCATCGACTGTAAAAGTGTCATCATTCGGACCCACTTCTCCCGCAGGTACCCATCGACCCGTGTCAGTGTCCATCTTCTCGATGACGTATCCTTTCAGTTCTTGACCACCCGTGTCTTCTGGCCTGTTCCATTTCAGCTTCACGTGATCGGCCCTCACTTCCTCCGCCTTCAAGGGTCCTCTGGGTGCTGTTGGTTTGTCTATATTAAAAGCAATTAAAATTATTGGAGTCATCCTCCGTTACATTGTTCAGATGTAAAATGAGCATTTTTCTTTTTAAAAAATTTGATTTCTTTTTGTATTAAAGAAATTCCTAAACAAGCAGAAATATATTTCAACACTATAAGTTGCTCTTAAAAGAAATGAATAATCTGTTCAAATGTACTTTAAAAAGGAATCACTATTTGTTTGTGTTTTCGATTTTTAAATTTTATTTCATAACCGTCGCTGAAGAGCCTTTTTGGGTTTACGACTATTAATGTTCAATGGGAGAACTTTTGCCATTGTGGAGGACTTTGTAATGGAACTAGCCCGCATTTGCGTTACATTGAGAGGAAAATCCCGAGAACCTCTCCCGGTTTGCCTGACGGCANAATTATTATAGTTTGATACATATATACTTTTTGTAGTGAATATAAAACCCTAAAACATTAGAGGGGAAAATTTCTGCTTAGGATGAAAACTCAAGTACACACAGATTTCGAAGCTGCTTAAATGGAAAATGTGATTACTTCAATAAACAACTAAAGTGTTGTTTCCATTAAAGTGACTTACCGTAGGGGTCTTTAGCAAAAGTGTTTTTAGGAGCCACCAGAGGTTGTGAGGATCCTTTCTCGTTGATGGCTCTTATCCTGAATTTGTATTCTTTCTTCGGAGTGAGGTCAGTCACATCAAACTTTGTATCTTGGGTGGTGGCCACTTCTGCCCATCCACCTCTCGCTCCCAGATCTTGTCTCTCGATGAGATAGTGGTTGAGGGGGATGCCTCCCGTGTCTTTACACGGCTTCCACGACAACTTGCAACGATCCCTGTACACATCGAACACTTCCAAAGGTCCTTCCGGTGGGGTGGGAACATCTAGTTGGGACACACACTTCTTATTATTTCACTTTTTACAAATAGTTATTGTATATATACCTTAGTAAGAGGAAAAAAGTAATCAAATTACTTGACTGATTTTTAATGAGTTGATTGTTACCTATAACTGCTGAAAGTATTTTAATATTGATTTAACAATCTAAATTACCGTTCTCCGCAATATAAAATGGTTACATAACAGGGGTCTGTTTAGAAGAAATTTGGATCCGTTAACGGACCCTGCACAAAATATCTTTTCATAAAAACGGACCCTTCACAAGATATTTTAACTTAAAACCCTTCACAAAATGATTTTTCTTTTAATCGGACCCTTCACAAATTTGTTTATCTTCATGATTGTTTTGTTAATCGAATAAACCCTTCCCAGGGCAGAAAACAAGAAAGATGGATGCAAACTAATTAAGTTTTGTCTTCGGGAGACGATTCTTCCATTATTCGTCCGAAATGAATATTCTGCGTTCAGCAGTATAGGCTAAATACCAAATATTTGTATGTTGCATCTCTAATTTAAAAGCGGCAATTGCTGTTTATTTTTTGAAATTCAATTTTTTCATTATAATTTTACAGTGTTTAGCATAATCTTGTATCTCTTTACAATTTAAAAACTCCTTGAAAGAGTTTTTTGCAATAACCGGAGCCTATTTGCACAAGTTTATAAAAGCAGGACCCTGGTTGAAAGAATGATTAATTTTTTCACAATTTCGCAAAAACCGAACCTTTCACAAAATGTCTGGACAGACCCCTGCATAAAGAGATTGTATTGTGTAAGGGCCTTTAACGAGACTATTATTTAAAGTCCCTGTTTGCACTACCAATATACTGCTCTTATTTAAAAATAAATAAAATAGTGTGACCTGATACGGGGAGCTTAGAAACAATTTCCAAAGGAAAAAAAAAAAAAAAGGTGAGACAGTAGTATGTTATACGTCATTTTATCCATTTTGTTTCCTCTGTATACTTATAATGAACCAGTATGCAGAAACACACACGGGGGGGGGGG